AATGGAAGAGAAGATTTGGTATTCCACTTTAAAGCAGAAAATGAATACACAATTTGACGCGAAAGTATTTTTCACATAATCTCAAATATATTTTACACATTTCCGTGATAAGTATGTTAACGAGTTACATCAACGAGTCGCAATTCCATCACAAATGAGCCGCGACTGTAAATTGTTTTACCGCATATACAAGTAATAGAATCCGACTTTGTAACTCTCGCGCACAGGCCGCGGCGCGGCCTTTAATCAACTCGGCCGGAAAAAAAAAAAAAATAAAACCTCGATGGAAAGCGTTCTCGAAACGCGGCGCGTTCGTTCTCGTTTATCTTCGAAAAGGGAGCTCGGGACAAGCGAGGAACGGAGAAGCGAAACCAAATAAAAAGAGCGCGCGCACAATGCAAGCCGCACGCAGGACGAGGGTTGTGGAAACTCGATGCCCCGCGTTCGAAAATGAATTTAAGCACACCGAAGCCCGTGTTACCGAAGTATCCGGTTCTGTGAACTTTAGTGATAAGTTTCATGAAGTGCACTTCGGATGGCGTACGCGGCTGTACGTTTGCACACTCGAAGCGCGTATCGTATTGCAACGAGGATCCCGGAGCTACGAAACAGTTCAAATGGGAATCACCATTTCGATTCGTTGCATTCGATGTCGCGATCGATTGAGATAACTTGCAGCTTTCACACGCAGATTCGCAATTTAGTCGCGCGATATACGCGAGTTTAAAATGTATAAATCGCAGAATTTTGTAATGTAATAAATTGACCGAAGTAATACGCATTGAAACGAATCGTTCACTCTTTTTCATTTAATGTTTCAACTTTTTCATAAATCGTTTTTACCATGAATACCACTTTCATCTTTTCAAACATTTGGATGAATGAGATGTCAGATTTTCAAATCAGAGATTTTTATGTGCATAAATTTCGAGAAAAACACCAAGATTTTTTCGAAGATATAACTTTCTAAATTCTTAAATGATAATAATTATTACTACGTGCGCGTAAAACGACAGATACTGATATGCAAAGCAAAATAATAAATGATTTTTATTCTTTCCGCAATATTAATGATTGTCACGCGGTATAATGTCCAAATTTTTTGATGAATGTTAGAACCTATTTCTATAAATTGTTTACAATCATTGTCTTAGCTGTCTCTCTCTCTGATGGTTCTCTTCTTAATGCAAATATTTAATAGTTTTTTGCTCCGCGTTCGCAGGGATTACCGTAAAATGTAAAGGCAAACCGTAAAATTTTAGTAGCGAAGCGAAATCCAATGGAACGCAGGATAAAATCAACAGATGAATTGCAAATAGAGACAGTAAAGTTTGCTGAGCGGCGTTATTGGCAACAGCAGCGAGTATTTTCTTTTTTTTTAACGCTTCTTACAATATTTTGGTGGTAAATAAAAGCTTAAAAATATTCTCCCGAGAGAATGAGAACAAAAATATTTATGTGCAAAAGCGGTATATCAATTTATCATCTCAATATTTCAACAATTTATTCTACCTTATTCGTGTAACGCCATTTCATTCATATGGCATTTACTGCGAAAGGTCAGCTGCATTTCCTTCTCAACAATGCTTATTAATAACAATCATTAGCGCGGAAAAATGAGCATTTTCAGTGCGTTATTTTGACTACCTCTTTATTGCAGGTAATTGCGCGTCGGAAATTCGAGCCGAGCGCATCCGCGGCTCTGTTATTTTACAATGGAGCGCCAATGAAGCGAATTATGACAGACAATAATAATTTGTATATATATATATATATATATATATTGATGTTTACATTTTTTTTTAATGCGAAATTAAATGATACAAATAATTAAAATAATTCTCTAATAAACGCAGAATAAATATAGACAAGCGGCTTGAAAAATTCTTTGAAGAAGATAGATTCTGTAGATTTTATAGGATTAGTTCTAAAAAGCGACTGGAAGAGGTGTTCGTCCCACTTTTACCTTCCTTAAATTAGTTAGACTAACGGAAAGGCTAAAGCGAACGTCAGTAGGAATCTAGCGCAGGAGTGTCGAGGGAAATGACACAACCTTGCCACGAAGGCGAGGAAGGGAGCGTCTCGCGATATAAAGGGCGAGGGGTAGTAAGACAGCAATCTACAGCTCGGTCCACCGAGAGCTGTAACACCGGTGGAATCGAACTTGTAATAAGGTATGTCTCGCCCACTCACCAGAACTCGATTGCCCTCTGGGGACGACGCCGCCGACTCTCTGTGTCTTTCCTTCGCTACCTCGCCCGTCTCCTTTTCTCCTACTCTTCGATAACCTTTCCGTACTACTACGTATCTTCCGGGCTCACGCAAGAAGAAGTTCGGCAAGTTACAAGGCTACTTCACTTTACATTCTCCCGTTATCGCCATTTCCTTAAGGTTACAATCGACGTGTCCTTCCGTGAATTTCAATCTGCGAGCAAATCAAGTCTCCCCTTTCTCTCTTGATAAAATTATTCTGCTTTTAAAAAAGAATGTATGCATTGTTTTTTTCTTCTGACTTGTTTCATTGCTTTATTCGTGTCGCTTTCTATATTTTGACTTCATATTTAATCTTTCACAAACACGTGAAACAATTGAAGATGTCAAACACAATTCTATTCTGAATTATTAAAATTTAATTCAAATTTTATACGTTAAGGCATTATGGATTTCCAGTGTATACGGATATATACTATCTGTAAGATCTTAAAATAATATAGAGAAATCATTGGAGAAAAAATATGAATTTATCGTTTTATAAAATCAGCTCACACGTAAAAAACGATGGTAAAATAACAAGCATTTTGCATAATATGCGGTTATCTTCCGTGCTCGATGTTACTGGTAATGCACCGTATGATAATTATATTAATTTATATAGAATCAATATTAAACACATCCAGGCAATGTATTTTTAATGAAGTAAATACGTGGGATGCATAATGCGCCGAACGCTGAATATTACATATCGCAGGAAATAGATACTCGTAATGCAACGATACACGTGAAACCCGCAAAACTGCATTGCGACCCGCGATAATTATTCGAGATAATGAGGGGAATTCACGATTACCAGTTTGCGAGAGTTTCCGCGTTTAAAAGAAGGAGAGCTATTATATGAACACATTTTTATTACTAAGGTAACTGTTGTTTAGCCCGGAAGAAAATAATTTTATCCGCGACGGCTTAAGAATTAGGATAAAAGTGTAGTATTTAACAGGAGTAAAGAGCTTATGAAATTACTGACCGAAAAAAAAAGAAAAAAATGAAGACCCGGACAAATTTCCGCAGAATAAAAGTGATAACGCAGTCAAGAAGAGAGAAATTCATACATATTTTTCTCACGTAGCGATCGGAATAAAGAAATCTCGTTCTCGATTGGAGGCACTGTCGTTGTGAACGATGCGAGAATTCGCAACATCGAACGCAAGTCTCAGACTGATTTCACCGTTAAGAATACATCAGTATAACGGCCGCAACGAAAGCTGCAGCATTAAGGAATAATGAAAGGACATGCACTTTGTGAGAAGAGAGGGTGGAAAAGTATAAGCAACGACGGAAGGCTTCTCCGGTAGCAGTCTTGTCTTACAGCGTGACGCCTCTTGCGTTTTCATTAAAAGCCCGCCTGTCTCCTCATTCTCGTTTCCAGCTGCTATCAACCTTCTCGTAAAAGGCACGCCACCCCTCGAAAAACAAAAGTTGCAGCAAATGTCAGCTAAGACACTCGATTCCCTTGGCATTTTTCCGCGACTTCCTCGCCGCAGCAGCGTGATCGTCGCGCGAATTTCATTACAATTTTATTACACAGTCTGATGGGAAAGTGGAACGAGAATGTAATGATTATTATCACCGTGTACTGCGAGTACGTATTATACAGAACAAATTTATAAAATCAACAAATGCCTCCTGGAATACATGTGAGAGAATTCAACATGGTTACTCAAACATCATGAGAAGAATATCGCTTGTTGTTTTAACACTGCGGACTATCGATACTTTTTACTATGTGAGAGAGTAGGAAGAAGCGAGCAGCGAAGGGGGTAAGGGTAATCCCTATTGTTTCTCTTGTCCCATAAATCCTACTAGCTCTCCTACGCTTCTTCGGAGCTCCGCTCGCGCTTCAACCATATACAGAGCCGACCACCCTCTCTCTCTTCGCTTTTCTCAGCAACATGCTTCGTAAATCTCTGACCATCTGTGCTTTACGACACGTACACAATTCTTGTAAGGATATAGAAAATTTTATTCGTCATTTCATTGGTGAAGTTTAAAAATCAATCACCGGTGCTCCTTCGATGAGCGAATTTTATTCCTTCGCGAGATCAATCGATTTAATATTATTGTCACTATTATTTTTGATTCTCAGAAAGACTCTCGTTTTTTTTTAACGCGAGTAATAAGTGGAATAATTTTTTGGCAATTTTTAGGCAATTAATTGAAGCATCGTGAATAACTTGTAACAAGATTGTGCGGTCAGATCTCATATAATAATCACAGTCATATATGATTAATCAATGGTACAGATAATAATTTATTTATTTGTAATTTAACCATCACTCTCTCAAATTGATTGTGTAACATTATTATAAATTTATCACACAATTAGAATTATATTTTTCTAAAGGAAATTTCAGCTCAAAGTCTTTATTTAATTTACGAAAAAAAATAGATTCCAGCATCAAAAAATTATTGTAGAAGAGAATATGTTTCATGATATCAAATATAAATAATTTTCAATTATAAATTTATGTTTATTTTACTTTTTTATCTTGTGATGAAATTGATTTTCAAGAAATAAAATTCTCATTTACGTTTTATTGTAAACTAATTGATTTAAAATTATAAAATATCTAAATTAAATAACATAAATTTTTAACAATTTTATAAAAATATATTTAAAAAACTACCTGACCTAGTTAACTTGATTGACTTAATTAAATTAAATTTTTAATTCTATGTCTATTGAAGTAATCTTTCTCTGATGGAATCGTTTTTCTGCTTTTCAGATCGAGGATGCTATGCTGATGTTCGACAAACAAACTAACAGGCATAGAGGTAAGTACAGCATTTATTACTCTTTTGAAAACATCACACGTATTCACAGAGGAAATATTGCTGCTCTGTTGCGTACAAATATGCCGGAAATATCCGAAACTATCCTATTTAACGAGTCAATAATGTCGCCATTCCGCCAACGGCATAATTAACGATTCGAGTTGGGGCTATAATTAGTAATCACGGTAAATCGCGAGGCGTGGTAAATACGGGGGAAGATAAATAACATAAATTTCGAGGTATGCGTAAATCGTAGCGGCATTTTGCGAATTCACAATGCCACAAACCGATAGACATGGAAAAGAAATTATCGCGAAGCATCAATAAATGATCGGGATAAAATAAAAGAAAAACTATTGCAAACATTATTCTAATTTAATGTTTCAAGAAATTAAATACTGTGCGACTTTATTTAATATTTTATGTCATTTTTATCAATATTTTTTTAGCTTTGCATAAAAAAAATAAAGAATCTAGTTGATTAAACACAAGTAGCGCAATGCTGTAATTTATATTTTTGTAGGGATCAAAAATCAGTTAATATTCAAAGCAAAAATGTTTTTACGGAAACGTCAATTGTAAGCCAATTATCGGATAAATATCACGAATTATTAATAATACATGAATGTTGAAATAAAAAAATGAAGAGATACCGTCAACTGATTTGAGAATCAAAAGACTTCTTTTACTTTTTGACAAATACCAAAGAATTGAAATATGCTTACAGTAGCAAGTATTTCATCTATTTCTCTTCCTCGTTCTTATTTTACATTCTTTGCATTCTCGTCATAACCTAATATAGAATTGGAAGATCATCGTGAGATTAAGAGCCCTCGATTCCAGACAAGATGTGCGCGTCCGAGAAATTTTTATGCGCCACTTTGCTAACCGTAGAGATGAGAAGAAGCGAGCAGGGGATGGAAACGTTATTGAGATCGCGCGAGGAGCGCATGCCCAATTGAAAATCGACTGGGCAGAGAGAGAAGGGTAGAGGAGATCGAGAGGTCGCGATGAATGAAATATCGCGCGGCCGGGATAATATATAGGGCAGCTCTCTCGTTCGACTCCTCGCTCCGCCGCCGAGAGCGCAGCCAGGTTTGCGATCTCGCGAGTCTGGATCCATTCACGTCGCCGGCTTCAATAGGGTCGATAATCGTCAGCGATCGCAATACCCCACCCCGCCGATAATCGGGGGGTCTCTCTATCTTTTTTATCGCGGCACCTTCCCTGTAGCACCGAGAGTTCTAGAGCGGAGGCGAGCGGCGCGCCTCTTCGCCCGGCCCTCGGTGATAGATTCTAATATCGCTTATGAAAAATAGGGGCAAATGGGATATGAGAGCCGGCTCCCTTCAGCGCCACAGGGGGTTCTTTCTATCCCGGGATAGTTGCTGAAGAGAGTCTGGGGGGAGGCTGGGAGACACCGAAGGTGCGTCGCATATCGCACACTGGCGCGAACGGTAGGGTAGCTGAAATAGCGACGCGCGCGCGGAACGACGGCGGTGGATGTAGGGCGGAGGAAGAAGGGTGAATGCAAGTGGAAGTGAGATAGGGAGGCTCTTTCAAAGCCGCACGTAATCTCTCTCGTGATGACATCCAGTACCGCCGTCCCCGTGCGACGAGAGTCTGCGGACCTCAAACCTCGAGCTGCTGCTGTTCGCCGGCAGATTCCGCGATATGGCACTTCCGCGCCCGGTTCCCTCTCTGACCCCTAAAGGGATCATTCTCAGATTCTCCGGCAGACATATCGTGAGAAATTTCAAACGAAATACGCGCGGAAGCGACGAGGATATTTATTACGTCGCACTTGATATTTCCCCATCGAGCCAATCACGCGCTTGTCGATCGCCAACTCGCGCATATAAATCTTCACATTTTTCAAAGCGCGTTGTGAAAACGCGCTTCTTTATGCTTCAGCCCTTTTCCCATTTCGAATCTGTAAATTCCGTTAGTAATATATTTATGTAATTTTACAATTTGAAAAATCGCATGTAATTTTAATTACGCGCTATTTGTTTAGTCACCCTTTCGACGGTTTATATTGAACACGCTCGATAGATACGGCGCATTTTTTCGCTATCGAATTACAAAGAGATACAATCAGACAATCTTCCGGGAGGTCTCTTTACGCCCAAATCCCCGAAGAGGCAGCCGGCTGTCGGCCGTCCTCCCCTCTCTCTTTCCCGCTCCGCACTGCAGGAAGAAAAGAAGACTCTAGCTCCGCAAGCGTTTCCGGACAATTTCGAGTCCCGATGGCTCCCACAGCGAGCTATGATTTCCACGTGGATGGACAGGCTGCGATTGCAGCAAAGCGAGCTTTCTCTCTCCCTCCCGCTCCTCCTCGCCGACATCCTTATCGCGAGGAGAAGCGCGTCTATAGCTCGAAGCGCGATTATCCAAGCTTCGCTGGCCAAAGGATTTTCCCTCCGCGGTCTTCACCCCGCGCAAAGTCTATATTCGTAAGGGGCGGTAAGGAGGACCGAGCCCGTAGCGTGTGTATTCGTGCATGTGTTCTGTGTGCGCGCGCGTGTGTGTGTGTGTGTGCGCGCACATACATCTTTCTTCCACGATTGTAGTATGTATGCCGGTGCACGCGGGAATGCTTATAAATTGCGACCACATTGCCCAGCAACGGTGTATGTTCTTAAGTTTGACGCGCGGCGCACGTGTGCGTGCGTATGTATATCTATGTATACACTGACCTGACGTTCTTACTTGTTCGACGACAAGTCGATTCTCCCCGTCAGCTTGCCCCAAAAGGAGGACTCGCCTAGCCATGTATGAACACACGTCAAAGGGACGCTCCACTGTCGATCGTTTATTGGATCGTCTACTCGCGTGCGCTTTGACGGTGGATTACCCACGTTTGGCCTGGCGTCGCTTAAACGTCTCCGCCGGACGTCGCTTATGGAAATCGGAACGTCTTCCACGAAGTAGAAAAGGAAGACCCAAAACATGTTCGGAAAGACTGTCCTTCCGCGAACCGAGGAAACGATCGATTACAATTCCCGTCAACTATCCGTCGTTCAATATTCCTAACCGGCTCTGACTTTATTTCGCTAGAGAAAAATTGAACCCTCTCTTGAATAAAAATGTAACATTTTTTCCAATTATTCGGAAAAATGAAATAATTTGTTTTCGTTAATTTGCTAAGGTGTTCATTCTTAATACTAATAAACGACAAAAAGTCTCAACGCTCTTTAATAATTTCTCAATAGTTAACTCTTTCGTAATGAGCAATTGCACGCACTAATGGGGCGTTCTTTATTTCGAATTAGCATAAGAATCACACTTAACTCTGATTATACGCCGGCGTGATTTTCGATGCAGAAAGGAGAGAGAAACAGAGGGAGAGATAGAGATAGAGCACAGCGAACGAGTCTCGCGTCATCGTGGTCCGAAGTTGGCCAAGTCCGCAATCTACCGTCTCTGATGGCGTGCTCGAATAGATGCAATTACCCCGGCCACGTTTCCTCTCTAGCGAGCGACGAGAATCTCCGGGCGAAGTCTCAAGAGCGGCAAGTTCGCCAGTCAGCTAGCCGAGGCGGATGTGTGTTATGTCAGTTTGATGTAATCCGGCATCAGACGTTCCGGAACTCAGCCAGTGGGCTCTCTCGCTCCCCCTCTCTCTCTCTTTCTCTTTCTCTTTCCTCGTCCCCTTCGCGCGCGCGAATCTCGCGTTTCTCGAGAGCACGAAGCGACTCGCGTGGCACGCGCGACGAACCTGACCAACTTCGATGCGTATGAATCCGTCTCGGCTTCGCCTCGAATAGTTGCTGCGCCTCCGCGGAAAGTTCCGGACCGGTCCGAGATAGTTTCCCTCCGCCGTTTCTAACACTCCGTCCTCGGTCGTGGAATGGGACTGCATACGAGAACTTGCAAGATCACGCCGCACCATTCACGAGCCTTCAGAAACGGTCGCTCGTGCGGAAAGGCTGGATTGATCTCAGCGGAAGTTCTGTCGCTTCTTGATTAGAGAACGGAATGCGCGTGTAATAACGCGCGTGCTTAACCCGCGATGTGCCGAATTACGATTTTGGAGTTTCCGCGAGGAACATTTGTCACAAAGCGAATTGAACTTTGTATTGTTACATTTAACGTTTGAGAGAGAGAGAGAGAGAATTTGCCTCTTTGTCATTATTTAAGCAAAGCATTACTGTCTTAGAACATTTTACACGAATGTACCATAGTTTCGTTTAAATTGCAAGCGATATTAAATCTTTTAGAATTTGGTAGAAATACTCTTGCCAATTGTGGTTGTTATTACTAGGCTGCTAAATATTGCAAATTAATTTTAACATTATTAGATACCGAACGGTTATACGAGAGTGTATTAATTTAAATGAGCGTTTCTGCTTGATAATTCCTGCTAAATTACATGAAAATGATTTATCGCCATTTTTTTTCGGAAAATTTCTCAACGAGAATATTTTCTTCTCGAACGGTTTTCACCCGAGCGAAGAAACTCCCGACGGCGGCGTCTTTTGGGAACGGCCGGCAATGGCGCCTAGTATCTCCGCTTGCTGGCGGGATATCAGAGAGGTGCGCGTCGCAGCGAGTTTCGAAAAGTTCTTGGACGAGAACTCGTCCAGTCGCGGCCTGGAAACTTCTGAACGATGGATGGCCCGGGTCGGGGAAGTTACGTAAAGGATCACAAATGCACGCGCAGCAGAGCGCCGAGTATGCCTGAATGTGCCATCGGTCTCGGCCCAAGTCGGTCTTATCAAGGCTCTCTCTCATCCTGGGATTACGGGAAACGGTCGATTTGTCACGAAATCGGCGATCTTTCTCGCCGTCGACTGCTAGATCTGATCGGCAAACACAAAGTGTATCACGTGTCTGATTCATTTCGTCCTATTTCCACCGCTATCTTCTGATATAAATATTTGTACCGCTATCTAATCTCATTATACACACGAACACACATGGTTTCGTTAGTCTACTACTACGCCATGTTTGGGAATGTGTTTCGCTCTGTATACAATTTTATCATCTATTCTACC